TTTCTTCTGGCATAAGCATTTGCAGATGCAGTTCCATTTCATCCAATGTGCAAAGTGTTTCCGAGGGTTTCAGGTCTGTACACAGTATCTATTGGGAGCAGGGGAAAATGGCAAGAAAGAAATTAAATGCCAAAGGTACTAACAGTGGCGACTGCGTTATTAATGGGGGACGTTCACACAACAGTTGCTGCTGATAACACAAATATCCTGGCATTAAGCCACTTAACACATGGAGAAAGCAGTCTTACAGTCTTGGGGATGCCTCCTTGGGTCCACAGATGAATTGCAAAAGCCCCTCTGAAGTCTTCAGTGAAACTAGTTTGAACTCTATACTGTGCACAGCTCCAGAATCTGCTTGGATGTGGAGAGAACTCTGACCTTGTAGTGGTTTCTCTGATTTCAGAGTTGCACCCTGGGCCAAAATGGGCTGGAACTTTGATCTTGGAGAGGAAGAAAAGGCATGTGGTGATGCCAAGCCCGTGAGCAGGGAGGGAGCAGGCGTGTAGAAACATTCCAACACACAAACACACTTGAAGTTGTAACTCCAACATTATAACTATGCAATAACTTCATCTCTGCAACACCAGAAAACAAATGAAATATTTGTCTATAGCCCTAAAGGGTGTAGAGATAAATGCAGCTTTTACAACACTGGGGCAACAGAATCTCCACTGGCATGTCCTGGCAAGTTGAGGTGCCACCTCTGGGAAGGCTGTGCCACATATGGGCGTTCCACAAGCCAGATTCCTTAGGGCCACCCTAAGAAAGTCTTCCCTGACTGATCTTTATGGTTATCACATCACACTCCTATCCCACTCTTCTTCCACTTGCAAAGAACCCAAGGCAGCTAGCAGCTTACAAGTTAGGCTGAGAGTGTCTGACTGGCCCAAAGTCAGCCAGTCGGCGTTTGTGGCTGAGTGGCAACTGCAAAACAGCTCTCCTGAATCCCAGGCCAGCATTGCAGCCACTGTGCCACCTGGCTCTCAAATCCCAGGCTGGCTTGTTGGTATTGGGAAGGCAGGGCTGGCTGGGAAATGCTGCAGTTGTAGCCCAACACATCTCGAGGGCACAAGGCTAGGAAAACCTGGCTTAAACCCCTGCCACTTATGGCTGTCTGTAAGCAAAGAATGCTTGGGCTACCTTATCTAAAACAGGAGACAAGCACAGGGTACCTAGAGAAGAAAGCAGACTAACAATTCCCCTGTAACTGTTTGCCTAATTTTCCTCCATGCCCTGAAACGTTTTTGCTTTGGTCATTTTGGGACGGAGAAGACTGTTCGCCACTATTCTTCCTGTTCCCGTGTGCCTTACAATCACATGTGGCAGACACACAATCCGGGCCCTGCCAGATGCGTTTGGCTTCCTTATTTTGCCCATAGATTTGAGCAGCATGGCATTATTAAGACAAAACAAAGGCAAAATCAACAGTCAAGCAAAAACCAAAGGGGAAAAAGTGGGCCCATGCAAGCTGGAAGTAAAAGCGGTAAATCCTGTCTTCAATCAACAGTGTGAGCTTCTCATTCAGGCAGCAATTTTCTGGTTTCCTCATTCTAATTAAAATCTTATTGTGCAGAGAAGTTCATTCCCCCACTCCCTGCTATGCTTTTGAAATATGTGTTAAGTCAGGTCCACAAGCACAGCTCCCTAATCCATGTGGTCATCCTGACTACAGGAAAGGAATAAACCAAGGGAGCTGGAACCCCAGGGAGTGGCTTGGCATCCCCCCTCCCCAATAACTTAAGTGAGGCAAAAATAGGAGGGAGCGGATGGAAGAAACAGCAAGAAATGGCATGTGTCAAACCGGGAGGCAGCTATCCTGGACGCGGCAAGTAAAGGATGAGAAAAAGCACCATTTTGATTTTCTGTGCCAGAACTACAGAGTTCATCAACTCCAGTCAGTGCCTCGGGATGATGGGGGCTGTAGGCCAATGCACCTGGCTGGCACCGCTTTGGGGAAGGCTGATCGATGCAGCTTAAGGGCTTTGTGAAGCACTCTGCCTACCATGCAGCAGAGAGTGAGATCGTCCATTCTGGCCCCCTTCTAAAACCGAAGCCGCCTCATCGCCACAGAGCTCAGGGTCTATGTGGCTTTCTCCCACTTTCCCCTTTTATTGTTGCAGCAACCCTGCGAGGTGGATTTCAGCCTTATTCCACCCAGTAGGCTGAATCACTCGGGGGCTTTGAACCAGCGTCTTTCCATTCCCACCTGCCGCAACACATGCCCTCTAACTCGTACAGAACCGTCCTCAGAGCACACGCCGACTGCAGCCGGACTTGCATCAGCTCTAGCTCATCTGAGGGCCTCTTTCTCCACTGCCCCCTACCTGGATTTCTTCCCATTAAAATCTCCTCCTTGCTCAGAGGTCTGTCTGTGCGGGGCCTGGGGCCTGCGCCTCTTAACACCATTTGCCTGAATGACCTTGCCTCCCTTCCATTATACAGCATGGGTGAAGTTGGCCCCTAGTTCTCAGCAACTTTGTTGAAACAGAGATCCAAGAATAGCTGGAATAGGATAATGTATTCTGCAGGCCTGAGTACCCTGTGATGATGTTTGGCACCCTCCCCTTTCAGCCACAACACATCATTCCCTTGCTCTGTTGAAGACTGCCCTGCAGTTGCCTTCCCTGCCACTGCCAGATGGAGTCACTCCTTTTTCTGCCTGCTCCTTCTCCCCACAATCCTTGACCTCCATCCTCCTCCATATCTTCCCATTGCTGGCTAGTGTGTTCTTTAGGAGCCAGCCTAATTTCAGCACCCTTCCCATCTCTCAGTTTCCTTTGACTTGTTGCCAGGTTTCTTTTTCTTCAAAGTCTACCAACCCCTTAGAAATAAGCTGTTTCACTGGTCTTTGCTACCTTACCCCAACATCGCCCTTTAGATGATGATGCATATTACTTTACTTTCTTCCAAATGTGGTCAGTCTGCCTGTGAGGTGCTCATTCTGCTGAGTGTGGCCCTGGGAGACTGCCCCAAAGTCCCACTCTAATGGTGCCACAATGTCAACAGATGTTTGAAATTAATAGAGGTCTAAGTATGCCTGCAATTCTGTGTACACTAAGGAGTCAACCCCCATTAAACTCAGTGGGATTTACCTCTAAGTAGGCATGCGCTGGATTGAATGGCACCCCAGTTAGCTTTTAGGAAGCCATCTCTCTTCTAGACCAATAATATGGTTATTATTCTGAGATAGGTTCTATATTTTCTTGGACTATCAAGAAAAGTTAGAAAACATAGTTGATGTTCATTGTTGCAGAACATTTATGCATCATATGGAACATCAGAGAATTTTGTGCTCTGGCTTAAGCTAGAGAAAATAACCAGTTGCGTAGTTTCTTATATTCACTAATATAGTTTATACTGCCTAATTTGCCAGTCTATAAGCATGCGTTAAAAGGAGTAATGTCCCTTTACCCTATCTATGCATATACAATCAACTGGTTCAGCTATGCTAAAGTGTAACCAAACCGGCTTGTGATAACTTTCAATATATGCCCACGGGACCAACAGCAATTATATGGGTTTCCTCAATGGTCTCCTCCAGGACTTCAGGGTCACACCTACCTCAGTGCCTTGCTAGAGGGCCTGTCTCCCACAAAGTTCCCAAGACATCTCCTCTACAGCACAATCCAAGGCAAGTGTCCTAAGAATGAAGTCCTACTTATTTCAGTTGGTCTTACTCCCAGGCAAGATCGGACAGGATTGAAGCCTTGGGGACCTAAATAGCCTAATGCAGCTTTCCGCAAACTGGAGCCCTCCAGATGGACTGGACTACAAATCCCTTCTCTCCCAGCCACTCTGTCTGGGCATAATGGGAGCAGTAGTCAAGCACACCCGGAGGGAGTCAGGCTAGGGCGCCGCTCCCTATTTCGTCCCCGAGTTGCAGATCAGCACGTCGGACAGCTCCCGGAGGCCTCGCAGGCTTGCGCCGCGCGGCCCCTTCGCACGCCTCCTTCCCGCTCGGAGCGGACTCGCCCGCCCAGACCCCGCCCAGGCGGCTCTTCCGCCGCTGCACGGCGCGTCCTCCCACGCCCTTCTCCTCCCCTCGCGATCCCATCTGCCCACAAGGAATATGGCGGAGGCGGCGGCTTCAGCCGCCTACGCCAGACGGGTGGGCGCTACCACGGCAGGGCGGCGGGAGGGGGGTTGGAAGGAGGGCGGAGCGGACCATCGGGGCAGCCGGGAGCCATGTTGGGGCTGCGGGAGGAGGCGATGTTGCCGCCGCCGCCGCCGCCGCCGCCGCTGCCACGGAGCAGCCAGGCCCGCAGGGAAGGCAGCCACCGCCGCTCCTAGATAGATGGTGGTGGCGGCGCAGGCGGAGAAGGGGGCAGAGGCGAGGCGGGGCCGGGGGAGCGCCAGGCCCGGGCAGCCGGGCAGGGGGGCGGGGAAGGGGCCGAGGGACCATGGCAGAGCTGCCGCCGCCGGGACCACGCCGCCGCCGTCCTGGCCAGCGCCGCCGCCGCCGGCGCCCGTGGCTGCTGCTGCCGCCGCCGCTGCTGCTGCTGCTCCCTTTGTTCCCCTTCAGCCTGGGGGAGCCAGCGGACGGGGGGGACCCGTGCTGCGGCCGCCGGGTGGGACCGGAGGGGCCGAGCCGCGCGCTGCCGTGCCTCGCCGTCGTCGAGGAACTGTGGAGAGCCGCCCCCTCCGCCCCGGGGGGCGGCTGCCTCTGCGCGGGGCCCCGCTGGCACCCCCAGGCGGAGCAGGGCCCGGCCGCCCGCACTTGCCCCTCCGCTGCCGGACCCGCCGCCCCAGAGAGCGGCCGGGCGAGAACTCGATGTCCGGCAGGCGCCCCGCGGCAGGGGGAAAGCGGCCCCTCCTGCTTGTGGATTATAAACGCTTCCGCACTTTTCCCGGATCAGCCGAGCCCGGCGTGTCGCGGCTGGACGAGCTGGGGATGCCTCGTGAGGCTGGCTACGCTTCGGGCGGTCAGCGGGCCGTCGGGCGGCACCTCCGCCCCATCCCTCTCCAGAACCGGTGCGGCAGCGAAGGGTCCGGCCAGTGCGATGCCCCGTGAGGAGGGCCGCCCACCCCAAGCGCCCCATCCCAGCGCGGCTGCAGCCCGGACGCAGCGAGCCCGCCCCTGCGTGCAGCGCTTCCTCTGCGCGCGGAACGGGACCTCTGTCTGCCTGCTGGCGGTCTGCGGGGGCCCGGGCTGCGCAAGGGCGAGGAACCGAGCCGGGAGCCTGGAAGCGCTGCCGCCGCCGCCTCGCCTGCCCGCCATGCGGCTCGCTTCCTTTTGCCGCTCCCGCGCCCACTCGCCTTTCTGCGGCTGGCTCGTTTTCTGGACCTGCCTCCAGCTCTGCGCGGGCCAACCGATGCGCTCCGGGGGACCTCGCCGCTGCGCCGGTGAGTGCTGCGGCGCCGGCCAGGAGCAATGCTGGGCCGGGGGAACCGGCGCGGAACTCGTTTCAGAACCACCAGCGCCCGGGACAGCTCCCGGCGGCGTGCAGGGCGCCCCGCGGAGCCAGCCGCCGCGCCATCCGCTGCCCTGCCTTCGCTTCGGTCTGCTGGACCCGGCCAAAGGCTGTTTACACACTCCTCGCTTCGGCGTGGATTTCGGAAGCCCGTCAACTCCAGGATTCTTTCCTTACCTGCCTTTAAAACCTACTCATCCAACTATGCAGAAGGAGCAAACGTATTCCTCCTGTGCCCAGAGATGGAAGAGGAGGAGGAAGAGAGAGGGGGACTTGCTCCCTTTGCTGAGAATCCGGAGGGCAGCCAATCGCCACCCCCTCTTCCCTCAGTATAATTACCAGGTCCAAGTGGCCGAAAACCAGCCTCCAGGGACCCCTGTGATAACAATGGCAGCACAAGATCCCAATTCAGGGGAAGCCGGTCGGCTGATCTATTCCATGGATGCCTTGATGAACAGCAGATCTTTGGAGCTGTTTAGCATAGATTCCCAAACTGGCCTCATCAGCACCACAGAAGTTTTGGACAGGGAAAACATGGACCTACACTACTTCCGTGTGACGGCTGTGGATCATGGGGTTCCTCGGCTTTCTGCCACCACCATGGTGGCTATCACTGTGGCTGACAGAAATGACCACAGCCCAGTGTTTGAGCAGAGTGAGTACAGAGAGACTATCCGAGAAAATGTTGAAGAAGGCTACCCGATCCTACAGTTAAGGGCCACCGACGTGGACTCACCACCAAATGCCAACATCAGATACCGTTTCGTAAATGAGCAAGCAGCCCACTCCGTCTTTGAGATAGATCCACGGTCAGGGTTGATCACCACCAGTGGGCAAGTGGACAGGGAGAAAATGGAGAAATATTCTCTGGTGGTGGAGGCAAATGATCAAGGTAAGGAACCTGGCCCTCGATCAGCCACTGTGAGAGTCTATATAACTGTCCTTGATGAGAATGACAATGTCCCACAGTTCAGTGAGAAGCGGTATATAGTCCAGGTAAGAGAAGACATAAGACCCCATTCAGAGATTTTGAGAGTGACTGCCAGTGACTTGGACAAAGACAATAATGCCTTAGTTCATTATAACATCATCAGTGGGAATAGCAGGGGGCAGTTTTCCATTGACAGTGTGACTGGCGAAATCCAGGTGGTGGCTAGTTTGGACTTCGAAGTGGAGCGGGAATATGCTCTGAGGATACGGGCCCAGGACTCAGGGCGGCCTCCTCTGTCCAACAACACAGGTATGGTGAGCATCCAAGTTGTGGACATCAATGATCACGCTCCCATCTTTGTGAGCACCCCTTTCCAAATATCTGTCTTGGAAAATGCCCCTTTGGGCCATTCAGTGATCCACATCCAAGCCGTGGATGCAGATTACGGAGAGAACTCTCGCTTGGAATACAAGCTGAGCGGGGTCTCACCTGACACCCCCTTTGTGGTGAACAGTGCCACAGGCTGGATTACTGTGAGTGGTCCTTTGGACCGAGAAACTGTGGAGCACTATTTCTTTGGGGTGGAGGCCCGGGACCATGGCTCTCCGTCCCTGTCTGCTTCTGCTAGTGTCACCATCACTGTAATGGATGTGAATGACAATCGGCCTGAATTCACCCAGAAGGAATATTTCATCCGTCTCAATGAGGATGCTGCTGTGGGCACCAGCGTTCTCAGTGTCACCGCAATCGACCGGGACGTGAATAGCGCCATCAGCTATCAGATAACAGGTGGGAACACACGGAACCGCTTTGCCATCAGCATGCAGGGTGGGGTGGGGCTAATTACCCTCTCTTTGCCGCTGGATTACAAACAGGAGAGGCGCTTTGTGCTAACAGTGACAGCCTCTGACCGGACCCTGCACGATAATTGCCATGTTCACATCAACATAACTGATGCCAACACCCATAGGCCTGTCTTCCAGAGTGCCCATTACTCTGTTAGCGTTAATGAGGACCGCCCTGCAGGCAGCACCGTGGTCGTGATCAGTGCGACGGATGACGACGTCGGGGAAAATGCCAGGATCACCTACTACTTGGAGGACAACATCCCTCAGTTTCGGATCGATGCAGACACCGGGGCCATCACTTTGCAGGCAGAGCTGGATTATGAGGATCAGGTTACCTACACGCTGGCCATTACAGCCAAAGATAACGGGATCCCCCAGAAAGCAGACACGACCTACGTCGAAATCATGGTGAATGACGTCAATGACAACGCCCCTCAGTTCGTCAGTGCCCACTACCAAGGCATTATCTCTGAGGACAGCCCCCCCTTCACCAGTGTGCTCCAGATCTCGGCTACTGACCGGGACGCCCACGCCAATGGACGGGTGCAGTACACCTTCCAGAACGGAGAAGATGGGGACGGGGATTTCACCATAGAACCCACATCCGGGATCATCCGCACCGTGCGCAGGCTGGACCGGGAGAGCATCCCCGTCTATGAACTCACGGCGTATGCCGTGGACAGAGGGATCCCCCCGCAGAGAACCCCCGTCCATATTCAAGTCACTGTGCAGGATGTCAACGACAATGCCCCCGTCTTCCCGGCTGAGGAGTTTGAGGTCTTGGTGAAGGAGAATAGCATTGTGGGCTCTGTGGTGGCCCAGATCACAGCCGTTGATCCCGACGAGGGGCCCAATGCCCAGATCATGTATCAGATTGTGGAAGGCAACATTCCGGAAATTTTCCAGATGGACATATTTTCAGGGGAGCTCACTGCCCTGATTGACCTGGACTATGAGACCAAGCCGGAGTTTGTCATCGTAGTCCAGGCCACCTCTGCCCCTCTTGTGAGCAGAGCCACAGTCCACATCAAGCTCATTGATCAGAATGATAACAGCCCCATTCTTAAGAATTTCCAGATTCTCTTTAACAATTACATCTCCAACAAGTCCAACACCTTCCCATCTGGAGTCATAGGAAAGATACCTGCCTATGACCCAGATGTGTCCGACCGCCTCTTCTACACCTTTGAACGAGGGAACGAGCTGCACTTGTTGATTGTCAATCAGACCAGTGGGGAACTCCGCCTGAGTCGTAAGCTGGACAACAACCGTCCCTTGGTGGCCTCCATGCTGGTGACTGTCACAGGTAAAGACCATCACTGCTCTTTCAGAGATAGTGACAGTGTTGCATTTCCCTGTCTTGTAATGTTTGGGCCAGCCTGTTAGCTCCTGCTAAACAGTTCCAAGTTCTAAGCATTTGGGTCATTGTGCCGCTGGAAGGCGGGCAGCCAAAGGAAAAAAAAAATCAACCTTGGATAGTAATTACACTGGTGGATCTTTTATTTATTTTCCCCCAGTTTCCTTTAGGGCATTATAGCTCAGTGGGCTACCAAAAAGGCAAGATTTGATTGCTCGCTATTATCTCATGGCAGACTCATTTCATAATTTATTAGACGGAGCCAGGTTCCTGCCCTGAAGAGTTTACAATCTAAATTAGATAAAGTGCACACAAAGGAAGGAAGGAAGGATGTAAATTGGTAAGCTAAACCTGCTTGTTGCTTGGAGCATTCAGAAGGGGAGCGGAGAGGCTTCCTGGATTATTTCTTGGCCTTCTTTTCATACATAATAGTCCAGTAAATATGGAGGATGTTATGGCGAGGTCTTTGTGGGGCCTCAGGGACAATAGAAATGAGGTCTGACAGTCCAGCAGCAACAAGTGATGGGACCTGGAGAACTTGTTTGAATAGTAGTTGTCCCACAGAGCGCTGGGGTGTGGAGTAGTTGACCCTAAGAAGGAGATAGTAACCAGTATAGTGTTTTTTGAGTCATGCTTACCACTTTGGATTGTGCTTCTTGTTTGATGTGATTATGCAGCCTAGTAAATAATAGTGTGGAGTCTGTCACAGCCAACTGGGGTTTCCACTTGGTTTGGTGGGTAGCAGGCATATTGACAAGCATTCCTGGCACCCAAAAATATCTTTGTCTGGATTGGGAGATCCTTGACAGGTGACAAAAATGAGTTCTTTTTTTGATTCCATATTGTTCTCTAAGGCTATCTGTTATTCCGTGTAATACAGAAGAGCTCTGAGTAGCAAGCAAAGATTTGCTAATCGTTTATTTAAAAATATCACTATCCTGCTATTCTTCCCTAAGGAGGTCACAATGGCATATTTTAAAAAAACAGAGAATCAGTAAGATTCAGTCACAAAAGTATCTAGGAGTACTCCAAAACCTGGTTTAGAAGTGTTTACAATGCCCTCCAAAATGCACACAATGAAGGAGCCATGTGGCTCTTCTGGAGGAAGAACCTACAGCGGCAAGAGGCTACCACAGAAAAGGCCCCGTCATGTGTTGGCACAGTATGAATACCTGGAGGATCAGCAGCCAGGGCCTCTGTGGAAGCTCTCTGTTCTCCAGGAGGGTTATAAGATGTTTGTTTTTTAGACAACTGCTTGCAAGCCAATTGAGACTTTATAAAGAGGGGGGGGGGGGGGGGGGGGAATAACATGAGCCCTCTAACTCCCCCTTGACAGAAGCCTGGCCTGAGCATTCTGAACTAACTGAAGTTTCCCAATAGTCTTCAATGGCAGGTCTACTCAGTAGGGAGAGCCTACTATAAGCACTACATCATATAAGTTAAGATGATGACTGAACCCATTAAACTGGCTGATGATGTTGAAAGAAGTGACTGTCGCCCTCCAGCATATGCCCACGAATCATTACTCTTCATCTCCCAGGCCACACTCTTTCCCATGTGTAAGTCATGGTAAGACTGAGTTACTTTTGCAAACTGCTTTTCAAGAAGAACATGAAGAAAACACAGAAGTATGACTGGCGCTTGTCTCATGTGTTTGAGGGTTAATTGAATGAAGAGCAAGAGGTGCCTAGGGTAGGGTAGAATTCCCTAACCTGGTGCTCACCAGATGTTCTGAACTTCAATTCCCATCAGCCCCAGCTAGAATGCCCAGGAGACAAGAGGGCTGGGAGTTGTAGTCCAACGCATGTGGAAGCACTGAGATGGAGAAGGCTAGGCAAAGGCGTCAGGGCTCTGCCTTGCCACAGGGTGTTGGAATGAAGGGAATGCTTCCGAGCAGGGCAGAGTGGCTTTTTTTCCCCAAAACTACAAGCCACATGTATGAATTTGGGAGTAAAGGGCTCAGGAGCAGAGGGCATCACTTACATTTATGCTTTTCAGCCCCAGCACCTCTCCTTCTAAGAATAATGCGCTGAGTATACCGGTTAAATGCACCCCTAAGCCTGTGGGTCTGTTATGTTTCCCTTCTCTCTCTCTTTCCTGGCTATGGGACATATAGTCCTCCAGAGTTTTTTGAAAGAAACAAGATTATTTTGCTTCCCTTTGCCCCTAGAAATTGATCTAGTGTTGCCTGGGGAGGCTACCCGACCTGGCTGCTGAAAATACCAGTCCCTCTCACTGCTAGAAGGAAAGGGTTCCCACACCTTGGGGCCTTCACAGGACTGGCCTGCCTACTGTCACCTAACCAAGGTTGGCCCTCAGACTCAGATTTCATCAAAACTGCTCTTTCCCATTTAATTAATTTCATCAGACATATTCACTTGCCTTGTCAGCATTTCTGTCCTGGCTACAGTCCCTTCTTTGTCCTCCCTGCCCTCCTAGAAAATCAGGTTTGTTTGTACATAGGCTCAGAGAATTAATCCCACTCCTCTTTAATGTTACACTTGTAATACTGGATTACCAATTTCCCAGGTACATTATTCTAAGAGGTGTCTGTGGCTCAGGCAGAAAAGAGGGCAAGAACTCCCACCTCTGATCCACAATTAAAAAACAGATTTTCCTTGTTGCTGGCCCGATTGCAACACCATCTTTTGAGAAATACAGCCAGGGAGCCCTGCATGTATGTCTATAAAGGGGTTTCTAGAAGACCCCCCTGTTCTGTAAGGAGATGTGATTTCAGTCTGATGGATGAGAATCAGAAAAAGAGAAGGAGTTCCAGGAAGAGCCAAAGGCCATTGAGGGAGATGGAAGGTTGGGGCGAAAAGAAACGCCAAGGTGACTTGAGCTCTCTAGCCCTGGCCTCCTCCTGTCACAAGCAAGGGGAATGCTAAAAAACGGGACTCTAATTGTGCCCAAGAACGCAAGTGTGACCTGTGGCAAGCAGTGCAGGAAGTCGCTGTTTGCAGGCGGTGGGGTGGGGAAGAAGGTCGAACGGGGAGCATGCAGGCTTAGTTACCCAGCTGTGTCTCGGGAGCTGTACATTATTCATGCCTTCCCCCACATCCAGAGCGATCATCTCCCCCCCTCCTCCCCCCCCCAACTAATTTAGGGAGTGCGCTGAGAAAAGGCAGCCCTTGTTTCCTTCAAAAGAGAGGGGCACATTGATGTGTACGGTGCAGCCAGCTCAGGCTTATTGCTAGATTGGGGTTCTTCAGGGGTTAATTGTAACTGCAGGGCAGGGCGATATCGTATTCAGGCACACATACAGAGAGGCATCCAGGCTGATTACTGGAGAGCCGAGCTGACCTTTTCATGCTTCTGCCAGGCTGTGCTTGCGCAGGCTTCTGCCTCCCTTGCACACTTAACCCTGCACAAAGGCAGGAAGAAATCACATTTTCAGGTCTTGCATTAAACTGCCTTAGAACAACAAGGCTCTTGAAATGACAATCTTGTCATATTTCCAGTGTGGAAATGAGGAGAGAAAAGGCAAAACTCGTGGAGGCGAGGAGAAGCCGGGAGAGCAAATTAGGCAAAAGAACCGCTGCTCAGGGTGGGGTGTGAGCGTGTTTATATATATATATTGTGTGTGAGAGGAGAGAGCGAGAATGGGAGCTCTCTGCCTTTTGTTGGTTCTCATGGTTGCTGGGGATGCTTAGGCCATTCTGCCAAAGAACAGCTGCTTCTTGCAACCTTTGCGTTTTATTTTTCATGTTTTTAGAAACCTCCCATTGCTTTCTGAGTATCTTCCATGCCAATCTGATACTCTACGAAACAAAGTGCAGGAGCTTGTGGCTGAAATCAATGCACAATTAGTCATGTCTGGGGCGGTGGGGTGGGGGCAGCAATTTACCAAATGGATCTTAGTGGATGGAAATCCTGGTCTTATTACATCACTCAGTAATGCACAGAAATTAACGTGGCAGCCTCAGCCTGTAGGACAGAACGCACATTTCCTTCAGAAGATCAGCAGCAATCAAAGTTGTTTGCTTTGTTTTGAAGGGTTATAAACCAAACTGATCTGCATTACATGAGCTGCGTTCATTCCTATGCAGGGATTACTCATGGCATGAGGTCAGCAAACTCCAATAAATGGAGTGAGGGGCAGACCAGCTATCCCCAGGCCAGTACCCTCCATATGGCAGGCCACAATTCCCATCATCCCCAGAGTGGATGATTGGGGGTGAGCTGTCATATCTGGAGGGCACCAGGTTGAATCATTTCCAGATTCAGGAATGGGTTCTTTGTAGAGTTGGGGAAAGTGCAAGAAAGGGCAACTAAATGACAGGGGCTGCCATAACTCCCCTGTGAGGAAACATTGCAACAGTTGAGATGGTTTAGCTTGAGAAAACGGTGAGTAAGAGGAGATGTGACGGAGGTGTGCGGAATGAGGCCGAAGCAGAAAAAGCAGAGAGGCAGAGTTCTTCTGCCCTCCTTCACAATATTAGAACCTATTAGGGGTCGTGCCGTGAAGCAGGCTGGTGGGAGATCCAGGACAGGTGCAAAGAAGTCCCTCTTCACACAGTGCATTGTGCAGCTGTGGAGGTCACTGCCACAGTTCGGGTGGCTTTAACAGGGACTGGAGAGATTTGGCTGCTGGTGCCCCTGGTTCTATGCTGCCCCCAGTATTGGTGGTGGTAAGGCTCTGCGCACCAGTTTCTGTGGGAAACGGGTAGCAGGGCGCTGTGGCACTCATTTCCTGACAGTGGGCGGCTAGTTGGCCACTGTGTAGACAGAATGCTGGGCTGGATGGGCCGTGGGTCTGATCCAGCATGGTGTTTTCTTATGTGCTTCCCGTCCAGCTTTGGGCAAGTCACTGGCTCAGCCTCTGCCCTGGAGAGATGGAGCTGCTGGAACAGGAAGTGGTCTCAGAGAAAATATGCATCACTATCCAGATCAAAAATCTTGGCCAAATGGTTCAACACGGACTGGATGGGTAGCACAGCGTCGGCAAG